GGTCTTAAAGTTACAACACCAAAAAGAAAAAGATTTAAAAGTATATTTATTATATAAAACATTGTATCGTCATTTATTTCATATTTGCTAGATCGTAAATTCTTGGAAGGCAAGACTATGATATCTTTTTTTTCTGTATTATCTTTTTAATAGGTATTCAGTATAGTTCTAGGTACTATAGGTTCACTTTCTACTTTCAATTACCCTTTTCTTCTGTTCAGGAGAGAGCACAAGTTCAGGAAGAAAAGTATCCCCAAGTTCTCTGGATATTTCAGAGAAATTATTTTGTTCAGCCTGTGACCAGGTCTTCCAGAACCACCAGGAACAGGTAAAAGGCAAGGGTATCGGGCTAGCCGTTAGCAGCAGAAGTGTCCTGATGGGTGGGATGAGGTAGACTCTGCTTTACCTTAAGTTAATAAAGAGCCATACTTTGTCTAATGCACTTGGTACTACCCGGTTAAACTTCCTAGAGTTTTGTGACTAGCTTTGCTTACTGTACAGCACCAAGCAAGGCAGAATGTCTTTCCACCTTCTCCTCCCTTTTCCTTCACACCAGAGAGAACATTATAAACTCGATTGGCATCGCTTTAACCTAAAGCAACGTCTCAAGAACAAGCCTGTCCTGTCTGCTTTGGACTTTGAAAAGCAAAGCTCTACGGGTAATGCTTTGTATGGGAAAACTTGTATGGGAGCAGGAGGTGGGGGTGGAAGAGCTGCCATGGGGTGTGAAGAATGTGTCCCTTATCTATCTTCAGGAGATCTTTCCAGCATCTCAGGATCAGAAGACTCAGACTCCTCTAGTGAAGAGGACTTGCCGACACTGGATGAGGGGAGCGCTGAGTTTGAGAAACCTAACCGACCACAAGGATTCTACCCACATCGGGTCCTTTTCAACAATGCCCAGGGCCAGTTTTTTTATGCTTATCGCTGTGTCCTAGGCCCTCACCAGGCAAGTGACAGTGCAGGTGGTGTGATCCGTCTCAGCTTTTATATACTCTGCCTAGGTTTCCTTTAGCCAATGCATGTCTTATTTCCTACCTTCCTTTTGGGTTAGGCTATCGTACCTGACAGCATCGTCTTTAATTGAAACTGGCCAGAATACTGAAAGGGTCAAATGTAAGGGGATTAAGTCTAAACTGTGATTCTACCATTCCCATCTTCTATCACTACCTCTCCAAATCTCAAATATCCTTCTTTGTGAAATGGGAATGAGGTGAAGGTAGTTGTAATAAAAGAGATAACGCAAGTGTAACACATGGCTTCTTGCTCTTAATGTATGCATCATGTGAAATGTTTCTGTTGCATTTGTCATATAGGTTCCCCCAGAAAAAGCAGAGTTGCTGATACAGAACCTGCAAAGTGGAGGTCCCAGATACTACGTGGTGCTCATGGCTGCAGCTGGGCATTTTGCTGGTGCAGTTTTTCAAGGGTGAGAGGGTGCTGCATGGGGTAAGGATAGACCCTATTAACCTGAGAGCTGCTCTCCAATACCGAGTTTGTGCCATCTACAGAAGAGAAGTGGTGACACACAAAACCTTTCACCGTTATACTGTGCGGGCCAAGAGGGGCTCAGCGCAGGGACTTCAGGATGCCCAGGGTAGGCCATCACGTTCTGCTGGAGCCAATTTGAGGCGTTATAATGAAGCCATGCTGTATAAGGTGAGTTAGGTATCACAAATCTCTGTGATAGTCCTCTGATTTCTCAGACTTTCTAGTTTTCTGGGTAGACAATAGAATAAGGCTCTCTAGGAATTTTCTCATTCGTTGTCCCTCTCTAGCTCCCACTCCCTGCATATGATCAGAGGGCCATTGTTTTGTCTGGAGATTTTTTTTTTAAAGAGCAGGTGAAGACAGGCTGCTAAGTAGAATTACTTTATTCAGGATGTCCGTGACCTGCTGGCAGGGCCAACCTGGGCTAATGCACTGAGGGAGGCAGAAGCAATACTGATACGTACCCCACGCTCTGGCCGGTCCTTGTTCTTTGGAGGCCAGGGGGCACCCTTGCAAAGGAATGATCCCCGACTTTGGGCTATCCCCCTTACCACCCGAAGACCCACTTTTGGAGAGCTTCAGCGTGTGCTCCATAAGCTGACCACCTTACAGGTGTACGGTGAGTATTCCAGGCCTTATACACAGACCTGTATAGACCATGGGGTTTTCCAGCCTGTGAACTGCAGCCCAGTTGACCTGGGCTGGCTTCTTCACACTTAAGTTTGAGTAAGACTTTTCTTGTTTCATGGCAGATGAAGACCCTCGAGAAATGGTCAGATTTCATTCACCTGAGCCAGTAAGAGAGGAGAGGAAAAAGGCTACTGATAAAGAAAAAACAAAGGCCCCCAATGATGAAAATAAGGCACTTGGGCAGGATGAAGAATCACTCAAGCAAGGTTTGAGCACCATCTGGCAATTGTCAAATATATCTGCATGTCTGCCTTGGAAATGCAGTGGCCAATTTGTATAACTGACCCATCTACCAGTTGATAGGTGAGCCTTTAAACCGTACCCACACTCATCCACTCATCTCTACCAGTATCTGTTTATAAAATAAGGTATGTTGTTCTGAGACAGTCTCATTTTAGCCCCAGCTGGTCTAGAACTCACTGTGTAGCCCACAGTGCCCTGAAATCATGATAATCTTCCTGCCTCAGCCTCCCAAATGGCTGGGATTATACTCATGAGCCACCACACCAAGTTGCTTCCTTATTGAGGCAGGGTCTTTGTTGTCTAGCCCAGGCTGGCCTAGAGCTCTCTATGTAGCCCAGGCTGATCTTGAACTCACTGTCCTTCTGCCTCCAGTTTCCAAATGCTGGCACTACAGGCATACACTAACACATCCATCAACTGAGACATGCTAGTGACCTTGCCAAACCTTATTACTGCTCATAGATATATTCCTGGTACTTAGCATGGAGAGAATGTCTTGAGTTTGATTGGGTGCTATACTTTGGACTAAGAGTTGCTGTCCTCTTTTTTTTTTTTTTTTTTTTTTTTTTGAGACAGGGTCTCACTATGTAGCTCTGGTTGTCTGGGAACTCTCTTTGTAGATCAGGCTAGCCTTGAACTCACAGAGATCCACCTACCTCTGCCTCCCAAGTGCTAGGATTAAAAGTGTGCACCACCGCACCACCATGGTCGTGCTTTCTTCTACTTTGTCCTAACGGTGTTCACTGGGTCAGTCCAGGGACAGAATAAAAACACTTCATTTCAGGATGATCTGAGTATCTTTTTATAAATGTAAACCCATCTGAGGATGCCCACATCCTTCTACCCTCTCCCTATTCCTTAGATGGATCTAATATCATATTTTTTTCTAGGTTCAGAGTCTCAGGAAGAAGATGGCTCCCAAGTAGAGCTGGAGCTAGTAGAAGTGACACTGGGGACCCTGGATCTTCGTGAATTTGAGGTATTGCCCAAGCGAAGGAGGAGGAAAAAGAAGAAGGAGAGAAATCAAGACCAGCAGTGTGGGACACATGTGACTCTTCTTCAGCAACCTCAAGAAGATGCGCCATTGTCACAGCCAGACCAAGTGGTTACAACCCCACTGGACAGTTTGGTTGATGAGGCCAAAGCCCCTGGTCAGCCGGAGCTCTGGGATAGGCTTCTATCCGCTTGCCGAGCTGGGGAAGTTGAGGTGCTAAAGCAGCAGCTGGCTCCTGGGCCTGTCGACCCTGGAGTTATGTCCTTACTCAGTGCCCGTTTGGGCTCTGGTGGCTTTACTCTCCTGCACGCAGCAGCCGCAGCTGGAAGAGGCTCGGTAGTTCGCCTGCTGCTGGAGGCAGGCGCTGACCCCACTGTGCAGTAAGTATCTCCATCCTGAGCCAGTTAGGATGAGAGAGTGTAATGTAGCAGTTCCTGTTGGCACCTGATACTGTTTCCTTGGGTGATGCCAGGAAAAGCAGGAGGCAAGTTGAACTCCGTTTTGGGTTTTTGTCCTTAGGGACAGTAGGGCTCGGCCACCTTATACCGTAGCAGCTGACAAATCAACACGTAATGAATTCAGAAGGTTCATGGAGAAGAATCCTGATGCTTTTGATTACAACAAGGCTCGGGTGAGCTGGAAAAGGAGCTACAGAGTGGGAGGGCTTCAGAGAGCCTCACAAGGTCCTTTCTACTTCCTTGTAGCTTTGCAATATTTTTGGGAAATCCTCTAGGTGCCAGGGCCACTGACTCATGAAATGGAGGCCCGGCAGGCTACAAAGAAAAAGGAGCAGAAGGCAGCTCGACAGCAGCGGGAGCAACAGCGGCAGAAGCAGAGGGAGCAGGAGGAACAGGAGAAAGAAGAGCAACGGCGATTTGCTGCTCTCAGTGACCGAGAGAAGGTGAGGCCATCGAGTCCTGCAACTGCGAGGCTTCCATAAGAGTCTACCTCGACTCCCCAGATTGAGCTGTCATTTTCTGGGTGTGCTATTTACCTCTGGGACTCTTCTTTAACATCTGCTCTATTTTTCAGAGAGCTCTGGCTGCAGAGCGCCGACTTGCTGCCCAGTTGGGAGCCCCGAGCCCTCCAGTTCCTGACTCTGCAGTTGGCAAAGCTGGGTATGGGGGCCAGGGGATGAGTGAAAGGGCGGGCTTCTGTGTAGGAGGAGTCAGTTGGGGTCAGGAGAACAAGTGTCTTCATGGTGTTCAGTAGGATCACGGAGGGAATTTGAGATTCCCTGGGCCCTTTACGGGCTGAGGAAGGTTTGTGTGGCACCTGTCCAGTCTTTCTTCTTCTTTTGTTCAGACGCTGCTGGAGTTGTGGAGTGTCCCTCCAAGGCCTCATTCCCTTTCACTACCTCGACTTCTCTTTCTGCTCCACACGTTGCCTTCGAGACCATCGCAGTCAGGCAGGGAGGTCTTCTTCCTGATTTCTTAGAGCCACCTGGGGGCACCTCTAGGCCCCCGAAGAGGACACATTCAGACCTAGAGTTTTTCTTTCTCCTCATGAAGCTAAGATTATGTGGAAGATGGGGGTGGAGGACACTCAGGAACAAGGGCAAAGCCAGGGCCACAGAGGTGTGTGGAGCCAGTACTGTCTTTGGAATTTTAATCACAATAAAGTTTGGCAAGAGAACTGTATCTGTACTTACATTCGGAGGGATTGTAGCCTTTGATTCTTTATGGCCACTGTGGCCAGCACCAGAGGATCTTGCCCTGTGTCCCAGATTCAAGGGTCATCTTTCTTTCAGTGCCCACTTAACTCCATTGGTTCATATGAACTTTGTGTTTCTGAGAGAAAATAGGTATAGCCCCAGTGCAAAGTGCTATTGAGGATAGGCTTATCCAAAAATTGGATTTGGGGCTCACGAGGCACGTTTTCTAGCTCCAGCAATGTGACTTTGTTGATAGATCTATTAAGCAGCAGATGTCTTGGCACATATAGGGTCTGTTGTGGACCACGCTTTGTCCAGTACCGGCCTAAGTTAAACCCATTGATCCATACTTGACCCTGGGAGACGGGATGGAGTGGAAAAACAAAGGGTCAGCTTTCCATGGGGTGGAATTATCCCCTTTCAGACTTCTAATCATATTAGTAATTTCTATTCCCAGATTGTTTTTCTTGTAATGTGCACCCCACACTTCGACTACCACCATTAGCAATACCTTGGTCCATCCAGATAGATACAGAAACGTGTCTCCAAGTTTGCCTAACACTGAAAATGTTGTGGAATAGAAGGCAGGAACAGAAACAACTTGAGGCTGTGCTCTTTTCATCAGCTGCAGGGGGAACCACCACCTTATAAGCTTATCAATCTTGAGAGGGAACATAATCCACTCGGTGAGGAGTGTCTGCCCAAGAAGTGGTGGTTCTAGCAGGCCCTGTGGGGAAACAAATAAGAAGTTATTTCCTGTGTCCACACAAGGACCTACTCTATCCCCAGCCAAGCTCTGGGATGTAACTGGCCATGTCCACATCCTCAGGCACTGTTCTCTGCCTAAGCCTAAGGATGGCCCTGTTCTCCAAGAGAGGTGGTCAGTACTGGGGAAGAAAAGGCAAAACCAGCTTACCTTGAAGTCACTGTGGTTAGACCCAAAACTGAGCCTCCCCATATTCTCTAACAATATATCCAGCTTGGCCCCCACTTTCCCAGTCAAATATAGTTCCTGTTTCAAGTTCCGTTCCAGAACACCCTTGAATACCTGTGGATAATAGATGGGCTCTAGTAAGGCAAAGGCCCAGCATTTAGTTCTTGGCCACTAGTGAACTGAATAGTGAATCACACTAGAACACTTCATTTGGGAGACGATGTAATCATCTTGTTGGTAATCTACCATTCTGGTACTCTGCGTTCTTGAGACAGGGTCTCTATGTAGTCCAGACTGCCAAAACTCACTGTACAGCCCATGTGACTTCCCTCCTGCAGCCTCTGAGCGCTGGGAATGCACGTGTGCCCCACCACATCCCTGGGTAAACCATCCTTAATCATGTTCTTCCTCATCCTAGATGCTAACCTGAACCTCTGTCCATGTGGGCAAACAGGTGGGAAAAGGCTAGAAATGGGGAAACTGTAAAACTATAGGGTTTGGGGGGAAGGGAAGGAACTGAGGTAATAAGGTGGTTGGGACTTAGGTTCTTACCCCATCCACCATCACATAGGCACGGTCATGAACTCCATTATTTGGCACCCAGAATGGTGTTGGTTCAAAAACAGTGAAAGTCAGATAGGTCCGGTACAGCATAAAGCCATGGTCCTAGATACAGAAGAATGGGTACCTTAAGATGAACTGGTGATAAGGACGGACACTGTGAGGAAGATTAGTAGCTAGAGGAACTTTTGGATGTAGCTATTGAAAGAGTCTGCCATTTCCGACAGATGTGAGTTTATGCCTTACCTGCTTGACAGCCTCAAAGGTCAGTGGCAAAACTGAACGGATGGGGCCATGGGGACAGAGAAAGTCTAGGAAAGACAGCAAATTCCCATCCTGTGAGGAAAAGGGGGCAACCAAACTGCTAAGTGTCTGAATTGAGGGCTGCTCAGAGTAAGTGATTCAGAAAGCAATAGTATAAGATCAGGAAAGAGGAGGAGAAACTTACCAGGTTCATAGTCAGAGGTCCAAGCTTCATCCTGGGGCTGGGGGGAGGTAAAGGTCCCAAAGGAATTTCCTGGAACTGAGCCCAAATTCTCTCAGTAGTCATAGGAAAACCAAAATAATCCAAGGCCCTAAAAGAAGGTTCTTGACCTGGAACCCAGGGATGGGCTGCAGGGAGCCATGAAGACCCTATAATTTTTACAAACATATAGTTCCCCCAGATGATCCTATATGAGTGGTAAACGCTTCATGGATTGCTAGGAGGGCCCTGTCACCCAGACAAACACCACCAGTGTGGAGGGTTCCTTAACAATATGGACATTCTCCCTTCTCCCCAGGTAATAAAAAGGCACCTTGCTGATGACATTTCGAAGTGCAAAAAACTTAGGTGTGAGATCCCCTGCTTCAGATATGGGTGCATCGTAGTCGTAGCTGGTAGTAATTGGAAGGAAGCGTCCCTTCTCGTCAGCACCTGGGTTAAAGTAATTTAATGAATTCAACATCTTCTTAGGCGATAAGTTCTAAGCCAAGAGCTTTGTGCAGAAAGCCTTGTGATTAGAGGGAAAGTGGTGGTAGCACACAGCTTCTAGACACCCTCATCTGTCCAGCCTGAGATTTCAGCTCCTTGTCCCTCCCTGCTCCCACCACAGGGACGGTTCTCACCATTCCAGTATCCAAAGTTAGTACCTCCATGGAACATGTACCTAAAGTGGGGGTAGGTGGGAGAAAGGACCAAGTCGGACATATGAAATCTTAACTTAAAACCCCAACTCCCAGGAACATAATTGTGTCCCCAGTTACATGTTCACACTGGCTCCCAACTTGAGGATTTTTGCTAGTCCTTGGGCTATATCCACGCTGGACCGGGTGGAGTGGTTTTGGCCCCAGTAATCCAGCCAGCCTGTATAGTACTCAGAGTTCACCTAGAGGGAGAAGTGAAAGGGGCCACAGTAAGGTGGGAACAGAGCTGGTCCCAGGCAGCTCATTTTTCTGATTCCACTTTCTTATGGCTCCTCACCAATGGCCCATGGGGTTCATAATTCCGAAGCAAGGAAAATATTTTGGTAACGTTGTCAGCTGCAAAAAGAAACAAGGGTGAAAAACAAATATCACAGAGGGGCCCAGACACCACTCCCAACTCTTGTCTAGGAGACCTGGGCCAAAATCTATAGTGGTATAGAGTCCCTGGAGGGAACCACATTTGAGTCCTTGAGGCCCATCTGTGGTGAAGAGCAAGATCTTGTCTCCTAGTAATGCCCGAAAGAGGCCAGCCAAGTGTCTCATATACTTGAAGTCACAGGCCTTGTAGCTTCCATATTCATTCTCCACCTGCCAAAAAGCAAAGAGAGTGTCCTGGCTGTGAGGTAATGAGGGTTAAGGATACCTCGTACCCACTTCTCTTGCCCAGTTCACTTCCCATTCATACCTGAATGCTAATGATATTGCCCCCATTGTGGTAGAGAAACGGATATATCTTGGGCAGCAAGACGTTGAACCAGGAGTCCACAGCAGCAAGGAAAGCTAAAGGAAGGAGCAGTGTGCTCTGCTCATTAGGGTCCACTACCTCCCAGCCCCTCCCCAGCATCCTTGACAGTCTTCACAGTGCACAGTGGTACACTCCAGGCTGTAGCTTCCCTTTCCCTGGCTCACAACCGAATCTAGAGAGCAGTGACCCTTTTAGTATTCTATTGTCTTTATTTATTCTTTTATGTGTATGAATGTTTTGCCTGCATGTTGTGTCTTTGTACCATGTGCTTGGTGACTGCAGAGGAGGCCAGAAGAGGGCATTGGCTCCTCTGGAACTGTAGTTACAGATGGTCATGAGCTACCACATGGGGGCTGGAAGTCAAATCTGGCTTCTCTAGCAGTCAGTGCTCTGCTAGACCTAGTCTTAGGAGCAGTGACTCTCAGCGGACACTCTAGGGGTACAGGAAACTATGGGGTTTCCGAAGACTCCACGTAAGAAAACAGGCTAAACACATAATATGGAGCTATTAAATAATCATCTTACATCAAAGAGAGCTGTGAAATTTCACAGAAAAGTCGTGTTTGCCTTGTATGGACTCTTATCTAATGAACAGTCTATGTGATTTCACGTCTTAAATTCTCAAGTCCTATTTACTACTTTTATGTTTCCCCTCAACACCTTCATGCATCTTATTTCCTCTTTCTGACATTTGTCTCCTATCCCTCTTTCTCTAGCTGATGTTAATCTATGCCTCAATTCTTTATGCTCATGTTTTTAAATTTGCATTTATTTATTTGTATGTGTATGTATATGCTATTATGATAAGACAGCCGAGGGGTGATTTAGACCAGCAGATAGCAGTAGTTAACCAGAAGTAGTTAAATTCAGTGTTGTTGAGAGTAACACTGACATGAGTGAGTATGAGTGTGTGTGTGTGTGTGTGTGTGTGTGTGTGTGTGTGTGTGTGTGTGTATAAATGTATGTGCTGTGGTGGCACATGAATGAAAGTCAAACTTCAGGAGTCAACTTTCTCCATTTGGGTCCCAAATATCAAACTCTGGTCATTAGACTTGATGACAGGCATCTTTACTTATGCCTTAATCTTTTTTTTTTTTTAATAGACAGGGTCTTCCTATGTCGCCCTGACTGTCTTAGAACTCACTGTATAAATCAGACTGGCCTCAAACTCACAGAGATCCTCCTGCCTTTGCCTCCCAAGCTCTAGGATTAATGGTGTGCACCACACCACCTGTCTTAAAAGAAGTTTGTAATGACATTTATTTTGTGTGTGTGTGTGTGTGTGTGTGTATCTGTGTCTATGTGCACTCAAGCCATGACACACTTGCTGAAGTCAAAGGATAACTTGCAGAAGTTAGGTCTCTCCCTTTTCCACACGCATCCAAGGGAATCAAACTCAGGCTGGCAGCATTGGAAATGAGTATCTTTACTTGTTGACCCAGCCCATAAGCATTCTTTTTTAATTCTTTTTGTTTGAAAAAAGGTCTTACAAGGTAGCCATGACTGGCCTAGAATTTTCTATGTGGACCAGGGTGACCTTGAACTCATAGATACATGCCTGCCTTTGTCACCCAAGTGCTGGGATTAAAGACATGTGCCACCACGCCTATTTTTTAAAAATCTTAAACTAATTATTTTCTTTTTTTCATATGGTGCTGTATCTGTATGTACACCTGCAGGCCAGAAGAGGGCACTGGAACTCATTATATAGATGACTGTGAGCCACCATGTGGTTGCTGGGAATTGAACTCAGGACCTCTGGAAGAGCTGTCAATGCTCTTAGCTGCTGAACCATCTCTCCAGCCCCTAATTATTTTTCTTTTTATGTTTCACATAAAGGAGGTCCATCTAAGCACATATAAAACCACATTTATTAATTCAACAAATATTTATGTGTGCTTACTATGCTTCAAGCACTGTTCTGGGCATATAGAAGGGAAGGAAACAGAAAAGTCTCTGTCTTGTGAATTCTCTTTCTAGGAGTGGAGGCAGATACACACCTGAGATAAACTACAAGACAGGAAAGGAAGCATACAATAGTTCAGTATGGGATGCTTAAAATTTAGGTGGCAGGAAGTATCACCGAAGGTGATTTCTGCAGAGGTGCTGCGGGAACACCGCATGCAAAGGTCTTAGAACCTGAGGCTGGCAAGTATTAAAGAACAGCAATGAGGGCAGTATGGCTGGGCAAGTGAGCGAGGCAGTGCAGCAGATACCAGAAGACAAGCCTAGGGCCTAGTGGATGATTTCAAGGAGTATGTAGTTCATATTCTGAATGAGAGGAGAGCTTATTAGGGAGGTTTAGGTGGAAATATGGTATGATCTGAGATGTATGACTGACCCACTTTCATAGAACTTCAATGGCTGCTATACTAAGAACACACTACACAGGAGGGAAAACAAACCAGGAAGGGCAATGAGGGTGCAGCTAAGAGGCCAGCGAGGGAGGTGGCAGCGGAAGTGATTGGAAATCATGAAATTCAATGCTGTTGAGAGTTATACTGACAAGATTTTCTGATGGCCTGAATACAGGGCGACACAAAAGAGTGTGAATGCGGGAGAGGTGTGCAGGGCTGCACTGCAGGGTTTAGAGTGCTCGTGTGGGGTGCAGCCCTGCTCCCTGAGACGGGAAGATTCCAGGAACAAGTAGCCAGCTTGAAAAGCCATGCCAGAAACTTAGTTTCAGTTATATCACTTTTGTTTGTCTAGGTAGAGAAGCAACATAGGGATTCAGTATGCATAGAGAAGTCTTAGAAGGAAGCTGCATATTTGGGAGTCATTAGATACTTCATGGGTTAATTCTGTCACACAAATGGATGAGATTACCAAACTTAGAACAAAATTAGAAAAGATATATATCCAAGTACTGCATCCTAGGACAGTCCAACACTTAGAGAAAAGGGAAATGGAGACAGATTGAAACTATAGAGGATAGTCTTGAACTCGTGATTCTCCTGTCTCTACCTTGTAGATGGGCTTGCAAGTGTGCATCACATGCGTGCTAGGCATCTCACATCATTATAAGTTTACTGTGCACAGGGACCAGTCTCTCAGTTCCCAGTTTCTAGCATTCTGCTAGACATGAAGGAAAGAATAAATGTATGACCTCCAAGTGAGGGAGGCTTGTTCAGGCACTCAAATCTTTTGTTTCAACTCACCTGGATCTGAGGTTCTCAGACGAATATTAGGTTTTCGAAGCAACCAAGATGGGAGACCTCCCTTGAGAAAAACATAAAGGCAACACATAAGCACACAGGGGTTTTGCTTCGCTTTGAGACAGGGTTTCACTCTGTAGCACAGGCTAGCCTCAAGAACAACAGTCTTCCTGTCTCAGCCTCCTAAGTGCTGGGATTACAGGATAAACTACCCCTTGAGCTGCAGATAGCTTTGTTTTTTGGGGGGGACAGTGGGGGCAGTAAGAAGGGAGAGAGCTGGGTATAGTGCTGGAAATGGCCCCTAGAGTATGAACAGAAAGGAGTACTTGAAGCCCCACAGTTACTTCACCTTTAGTTCTGCCCTTCTCCAGCTAACTCACCATCTCCCACTCTGCACAGATGTAAGGTCCTGGTCTCAGAATGACCAACAGGTTCGCTCTAGCTGCCTCATTCAAAAAGGCAACGAGGTCCCGGCTGCCGTTAAAGTTATAGACCCCAGGCTCTGGCTCATGGTAGTTCCAGGGCACGTAACTGAGAAAGGAAGATGTTAACAGGACCCAGAGGGAACTAGGGGACTCAGGATTTGCAGAGAGAGAAGCAGCTAGGAGGAGGTACTGGGAAGCCCTTCCCCACCCTTGCCTGAGAAGTCCTGGAGCTCAACTCCTTTTCAAACCCAGTCTGTTTTCCTGGAGACCCATTTCTAAGAAAGAATGACTGACAAGCGCTTGAGAACACTTCTTACAACTGTACAGCGTTGAGGCCACTCAAACGCATCTTGAGAAGCCGGTCGGCCCAAAGTACCGGCGGTACCCGAAAGTAATGTATGCTGCCAGAAACATAGCGGAACGGGACCCCGTTCAGGAGGAATCTGTCATGTTGCCGATCCACTACGAAGGAGCGAGCCTCTGTCTGCAAGGGAGAAAGCCTGACTCAGCAGAGGTCTGGAGCGAAGGTCAGCGTTTACCAAGTGCTTAAGAGATTGAACTGGCCCTGTCTGTGGTTGACCATCTCTCCTCTGCCGGTTCTGTTTCCCTCCCCCCGACACCCAGACAGGCAGTTCGACCTCTCAGTTTACCTGGGACAGTAGCAGCAGCGGTAGCAGCATCACAAGCCGCAGCGGCAGGGAAGGCAGGTCAGGCGGCATCTTCGCAGCCAGGGCACTTAAAGTGTTCTTCTGCTCTAGAAGGGCTGCCCCACCCGTCACGTGGCGGATTCCTGGGAGGGAACCTCAGCAAGCAAAGGGGCGGAGACCACCTCAAGTTTTCAGGCAGTTAACCCGGACTTTGCCTTTTGCCTGCAGCCACCCACCATCCGCTAGTTTATAAAATCCTCTACATCTTGCTACTCAAAGTGCTGTTCGCTAGTTGGCTTCATCAGTATCACTTGGGAGCTTGCTAGGAATGCAGAATCCCGGGTCCTACCCCAGACCTGCTACACCGAACTCTCTGTAGGGTGTTTTGTGACGAGCAAAGAATCTGGCACATATCAGTTTAAATTTATACGAGTGGCTATATGAGTGAGAACTAAGGGCTAAAACGGGTTAAGAAGCAGTGAAAAACGTAGAAAATCTTCATGGTGATCATGACTATGAAAAGGGGTAACTGGGTTACAAGGAGTCTGTTTGGCCACTCTTTTTTTTTTTTTCTGGAGATGCACCCCTTTCTAATATATCTGCCTGTCTAGGCAAAAGATGTAAAAACAAACTGCATAGTGCAAAGACTTGGAAATCCAAATGTCCACTTCTCCTGCCTTCACAACTGTAAATGTAAGAATTCGGGTAGAAAGTACGACGATTTCTGTTTATTGACACATATTGAAGGCTATGTGTCATATAATATACGAAAGATGTTGCATTTACGCTTGAAATAATTATCATTCTCATCTTTCACACGAGGAAAATGAATTAAGTGGCTGTCCAAAGTCACAATTAGTTCAACAGAGCTGGGATTGGAACTAGTCAGTTTGGCCTCATAATTCACAACCCTTACTCAGCCCTAGGTCCTTCTGTCTTACAGCGCGGGAGTGGGGGCAGTTAGAAACTGAGAGGCGAAATCACTTCCTGGAGGTCACACTAATGTGTGATCATTAGGACCAGACTTAGAAACTGGCTCTCTGGTTCAAAGGAGCACTCCTACACTACCTAAGGCAATGGAACACAGGCCAGAGGTCTGAAAGTGCTATGGGATCAGACCTCCAGGCATCTAAGGGCCAGCACCCATCCCTCCCTGGACCCTCCTCCAAGCTAGACTGTAGAAGGCTATTTTCTGACTCCAGCGCGCGGGAAGTATGAGGCCTCCTACCTCCGACATTGGGAGACGGAGGTCCTAGGGGCCTCAAGTAGAGGCCGGCTTTGCTCCCCTTTGGTACAAGTCCCTGCGTCTTGACCCTCACTGAAGGCCAAGAGGGAACCCTCGAGGAGATACAGAAACCATTCCACGCCCCCAGATCTAGCCGGGCCCCCCGCTTCTCACTTCCGGGTCCCCACATCCTCTTGCTACCTCTTGTTGCTAGGATACGGCGGGCCGTTACTTCGACGCGGACTGATGATGTCATCGTGGTTTCCGGTCCCTGGCTCTTTGCTCAGGCCCGAGCCAGGTCAGTGAAGAGTCTGTACTGGCAGATCCTGTGCCTGGTCCCGGGCTTCGGAGGGTGGGCTCAGCCAGAGGTGGGCTCGAGTCCCGCACCTCCTGAGCAGCCACCCCATGCCCGACGGGCGTGAGAGCGGGACCTGGCCGAAGGTGTGCCGGGGTTGGAGGAAGCGGCCTGGTAAGACGCAGCGTGGCTTGAAGCTCTGAAGCGCCAGAACTCAGCCTTCTTAGCGCTGGAGTCGCCGGGGCCTGTTTTCTTTAGACGCGAATCTGGGTTCCTGAAGCTGGACCTGAGCTCTCCGTATTGGTACCTCAGTGGCTCTCAGAATTGTTCTTGACCCTCCACCTGCTGTTTTCATTCCAGCATGCTCCGCAGGACCACCAACCCATCGCCTGGAAGAGCCCACTCTCCCTGGAAGACAGACCATCCTTGAAGAGAATGACTGAGACATTATGGGCCACGCACTGTGTGTCTGCTCCCGGGGAACTGTCATCATTGACAATAAGCGTTACCTCTTCATCCAGAAATTGGGGGAGGGGTGAGTGTTTGGAAGTCACTTAGCTAGTCCCAGGTCATTTAGGGACAATGGCCAGCACGTGATAGAGACATAAGAGTGTTAGCCTTAGATTCTACCTCACCCGACTTAGCTAAATGGGTCTGGAAAGTGGAATCTGGACCCTGGCCTCCTGGATCCACCTTGTGTGACCTTAAGTAAACTGTGGTTTCTTCATCTGCTTAATGGAGATGATTCTAATGACTCACCGAGGAACTTGGGAGAACTGAGATAGTATATTTTTTTAAAAATATGTCACCCAGTGCCTGGCTCATAAGCTCTCGATAAATGCTGGTTGGTGCTTGATAGTAATTGAATATCTTGTGCTCCGACCATAGAACCTCGGTGATTTCTGGGTCCCTGCTCTCGAGGAGCTTAAATCCTGAGTCTTGAAACTGTATGCGAGCCACATCTTGGGAGGGTTTCTACTCCTTGTGCGAGGCACCCCTCCCTAAGGGAATTCCTCTGGGTCCAAGCCGTGTGGGAGATGGTCCTTCACTGACCCCTTTGGCCCACAGTGGGTTCAGCTATGTGGACCTAGTGGAGGGGTTACATGATGGACACTTCTACGCCCTGAAGCGAATCCTGTGTCATGAGCAGCAGGACCAGGAAGAGGCCCAGCGAGAGGCGGACATGCATCGCCTCTTCCAGCACCCCAACATCCTCCGCCTCGTGGCTTACTGTCTGAAAGAACGAGGTGCTAAGCATGAAGCCTGGCTGCTGCTACCCTTCTTCAAGGTCAGAAAGGCTGGTGGTTACAGAAGGGATTGTAACATGGCTCTACCAAGCGCTCTCTGGGTAGTCAAACATAAATATGCTGGGAACACATGTCCTGGTTTTGGCCATTATAAATTTGGGGCTATTCGACATCCCACAGAGCCCCAGATGATCAGTAACAGGTGTATGTGGCAAAAGGTTAACAGACTTTAATACAGAACAGAAGTGAGTCCCAGGTAGTAGAGCCTTCAAAGACATCTCAACCCAGGAAAATTTGTGTTGTAGAGAGGTACACTGTGGAATGAGATAGAAAGGCTGAAGGACCAAGGGAACTTCCTGACTGAGGACCAAATCCTTGTGTTGTTGCTGGGTATCTGCAGAGGCCTTGAGGCCATTCATGCCAAAGGCTATGCACACAGGTCAGTGGGACCCTATGCACTTACGGTACCAAGGGAAGAGTTGTGCCAAGAGAATTGGGGTATCCCTGCACTCTACCCATGGTGCTCCCTGGGGTACCAGCTTCCCCATCTCGGATATCCTCGGGTCATTTTCCCTTTCCTCCAGGGACCTGAAGCCCACCAATATTTTGCTTGGTGACGAGGGGCAGCCAGTTTTAATGGACTTGGGTTCTATGAATCAAGCATGCATCCAGGTGGAGGGCTCACGCCAGGCCTTAACTCTACAGGTAAGAGAATCTCCAGGTTTTTTGTCCATCTCCTTCCCATCCCCAACTCATTCTGATGCATGCACCAACTGGGTCACATGATATGGCTTGTGCTCCACTTTTGAGCTCTGGGTGCACTGTTCCAGGACTGGGCGGCCCAGCGGTGCACCATCTCCTACCGGGCACCTGAGCTTTTTTCTGTGCAGAGCCACTGTGTCATCGATGAGCGGACTGATGTCTGGGTGAGGAGCATGTGGCTGGGAACCTGGGAGGAGCAGGGTGTGCCTCTGTACTACTGTGGAGGAAAAGGAAGGAGATCCTTGGTTTCTGTTGCATGGATCTCCAGAACCACAGTATGTGTTCCCTATCTCTTTACTTCCTTCCTGGGAACCGTCACTGATACTGTCCTCAGGAAGTGGTGTCATCTCTGTGGCTGAACTGGGTGAACTGTGGCTGGAGGCAATAGCTAAACAGGGGCTGGAGAAGCCTCCTGCTAACACAGTTCCTCTGGGTGAGGTTGGCATATTTTTAGCTTACATGATCTTCTTTTACCGTAGTAACAAATAGGATACCATTTTCCCCCTTTCCAGTAACTAACCAAATTATGCTCAGTCTCTAGGCTGTGTGCTTTATGCCATGATGTTTGGGGAAGGCCCTTATGATATGGTGTTCCAGAAGGGTGACAGTGTGGCCCTTGCTGTGCAGAATGAACTCAGCATCCCACAAAGCCCCAGGTGAGCAGCAAGAGGGACACCAAGCATTGTAGGCTCTTGCCTAGAGCCAGCCAAGTTGGAATCTTAGCAATTGTAGGAGTCCTCCAGTCCTCTGCCTCCACCTCCCACAGGCATTCTTCAGCATTGCGACAGCTTTTGGCCTCTATGATGACTGTGGACCCCCAGCAGCGCCCTCACATTCCTGTCCTCCTCAGTCAGTTGGAGGCATTGCAGCCACCGGCTCCTGGCCAGCATACCACCCAAATCTGATGAACTGGGCTTGTTGGGAAGACAACCTTGAAGGCTTCATCTCACTGGAACTCCTTCCATTCTACCCAGGATGGCTTTTATAGCTACGGACGAGGATGGTGGGTCCTTGTGTATTCTGCTCTCCGATCCCAATACCTGGGCAGGGAGCCTAGGGTGAGTCAGGGGAAACTGAAACAAAATAGGGCTCAAAGCTGGACTGCTGGGCACACATCATGTTCTGCCTCCAAGTCTGGGGGCAGGAGAATACATAACAGAATAAAGTGAAAAGACTGTGTGTCTTTTAGGTCACTGTGTCTGGAGGGAAGGAGCGGTGAACTGTCTGGCTGCTGTTTCCAAGGGAATAGCCTGGGAAGGGGACTGGTGTGATGGTTGAGGCAGATGTGCTTCTTGAGATTTGGCTGCTCTGGCAGCAGAGGGGTCTTTAAGCTCGCCTTAGTCAAAACCAGAAGAGTCTCCGGTTTGAGCTGGTTTCTGCCTGTGCCGAGAAGCGGGACCAGGATCCCCTTGAAAGCACACCCAACTAGTTCTGTCATTCATTCCAGAAGTGGGTAGTTTAGACCAGCCCAGCCCGGCAGGTTTGCCAAGTCCATGACCTCTGGGTAGAAGCATACCAGGTCTCCTTTCCTCAGCTGAGGACAAGGGAATGGCACTGGTATCCATTTTTTCCAGTCTCCCTGACTGTTCTAGCTCATACATAGTTAATAATTGATGAGGCTAGTGGCCTGTGGCAGTACCCAGCAGGCACTTCCTGCCCCGTTTGCTGAGTAAACAGGCACCCTGCCTTAGCTGGGCTTTAAACCAGTTCCTCAGGGAAGGGCACTGCGTCCCTGAATCACCAGGGAGGGAAGGGCAAGGGCAGGGTTGGCTCTTCTGGAGATTTTGAAGCTTCCTCCCCCAAGCCATGCCCACCCCTATATGCTGACGTCAACCTGAGTCCTAGGGTGCCTATTAGTGAAGTATAATTTTTCCCTAGGGACCAGGCAGGCTTCCACCCTGAGCAGAGGCTGAGGCCAAAAGAACACAAACAGAAGGGAGACGTCCTGACTTTTAATAGCATAGCTCCCGCCCCAGAAAGCAAGACAGACAGCAAGCTATGCAAAGCTGCTGGAGGTGAATGGCACAAACAACCAGGAGATTGCCCTTGTTCCCGCCCATCCCCCAAGTCTGTGAGGTGGCTTTATGCCCAGGAACTTTGGGGCCCGCCCAGCCCCCATTCCCAAACCTTCAGTGTACAACAAAGCTTGGGCCAAGCCTTGCTTCTAAAGCTGTTGAGTGAAGCGGTAGCAAGAGCAAAAGCAGTCCAACCATCCAACACAAACTACCAGACGTCATTTCCTATTTGGAAAAGTGAAGACTTGGATCTTGCAATAGTTTGTAGCTAGACAGACAGGTCCAGGATTTGGTCCTCCTTTCTTTCCTATACTGGGTGTCCGTAGGACCTAACATCAATGTCCTTAGGTTCATACTTTCTGGGTCTCAATATGGGGCCTCACCTTGAGCCATGTAAGGGTAAAAGGTCAAGGGCGGGCGGCAAATAGCGGGAAGTAGCAGCCACAGCAGAAGCTCAAGCAGTCACATAGGGGACAAGAGACCGTGCCAAGGAGACTTTATTTCGAAAGGATTTTGCAATAAACAGAATGAAAAGAGGCTCCAAGTGGCTGTCTATTCTTCTCCCTCATCCTCATCCTCATAGGAGTCGATGCCTACTTCCTCATAATCCTTTTCCAGGGCAGCCATATCCTCTCGAGCCTCAGAGAACTCACCCTCCTCCATGCCCTCACCCACGTACCAGTGTACAAAAGCTCTCTTGGCATACATCAAGTCAAACTTGTGGTCCAGGCGGGCCCAGGCCTCAGCAATGGCAGTTGTGTTGCTCAACATGCACACTGCACGCTGCACCTTGGCCAGGTCACCCCCAGGCACCACAGTAGGTGGCTGGTAGTTGATACCAACCTTGAAACCTGTGGGGCACCAGTCCACAAACTGGATGCTGCGCTTGGTCTTGATGGCAGCGATAGCAGCGTTCACATCCTTGGGTACCACATCTCCGCGGTACAGCAGGCAGCAGGCCATGTACTTGCCATGCCGAGGGTCACACTTCACCATCTGGTTGGCAGGCTCGAAGCAGGCATTGGTGATCTCTGCCACTGACAGCTGCTCATGGTAGGCCTTCTCTGCAGAAATGACGGGTGCATAGGTGGCCAGGGGGAAGTGGATTCGAGGGTAGGGTACCAGGTTGGTCTGGAACTCTGTCAGGTCCACATTGAGGGCCCCATCAAAGCGCAAGGAAGCTGTGATGGAGGAGACAATTTGGCTGATGAGACGGTTGAGGTTGGTATAGGTTGGACGCTCGATATCCAGGTTACGGCGGCAGATGTCATAGATAGCCTCGTTGTCCACCATGAAGGCACAGTCTGAGTGCTCCAAGGTGGTATGGGTGGTCAGGATGGAGTTATAGGGCTCTACCACAGCTGTGGACACTTGTGGAGCTGGGTAGATGGAGAACTCCAGTTTGGATTTCTTGCCATAGTCAACAGAAAGTCGCTCCATCAGCAGGGAGGTGAAGCCAGAGCCGGTGCCCCCTCCAAAACTGTGAAATACGAGGAAGCCCTGAAGTCCTGTGCACTGATCAGACTGAAAGGCAAGGAAGAAAAAGCAACATCGGTAGGAGAGGTCCAACAAAATGTCTTCTAGTTTTATGAAGCCTAAAGTATCTCAGAAGTTAGGGCAAAGACTGAATGATCCCCTAAACAGCATCAAATTCTAAAACACATACAGCTGGAGCTGATCCTGGAAACGGATCTGAAAACTTCCTGAACATTGAGTCCAGAGTTCCCTCCCTGCCAAGCTATAGTCTCACCAGTTTGCGGATCCGGTCCAGCACTGGGTCGATAATTTCCTTGCCAATGGTGTAGTGACCACGGGCATAGTTGTTGGCTGCATCTTCTTTCCCAGTGATAAGCTGCTCTGGATGGAAGAGCTGGCGGTATGGGCCATTTCGGATCTCATCTGAAAGACCACACATCATATTGCTGAGGCCAAACCCACAAGGCTGTGCTCACCCTCAGAGTGGCAGCTAAAACCAGATACATGCAAAAACTGGCTTGTCCTTCTGCCAGCCTGGGGTCAGCATTCGTCTTCATCATCAAATAAAGTCAAGGGGCTTCAAGATCACAGAAACCCAGTCTAGACACTCTTCCTCAGAAGTGCACCCCCCTGCTCACCAATTACAGTCGGTTCCAGATCCACAAAGACTGCCCGAGGCACATGTTTTCCGGCTCCAGTTTCACAGAAGAAGGTGGTGAAGGAATCGTCCCCTCCACCAATGGTCTTATCGCTGGGCATCTGCCCATCAGGCTGAATCCCATGCTCCAGACAGTAGAGCTCCCAGCAGGCATTGCCCATCTGGACACCTGCCTGCCCCACATGGACTGAAATGCACTCACGCTGAGGGATACAGAGAAGGTCACAGCGTAAGCACCACATCCACAACTCCTCACTTCCCAAGGGTCTCTCCCACCCGGTCACCTATTAGCTAAGGTTACTCAGTGCAAGTGCGGTAAGTAAGCTTGGAGCTGACAGAGGTCAGAAGCAGCTGGCAGCCTCTCCAGTCTCCTCAGCACAGGACTCCCCAGATTGGAGGCGTCCAGTAGCGGAGACAGAACCCTTAGCCTAGTTCTCGGTAGAGAATTTATCAAGTGAGAGCTGTATAATCCTGTTCCATCCACAGGATACCCAGAGAGGACAGAGAGGGCATGTACACATGACAGGCAGGGCTGCAGCGTGCATATGTGTGTGTGTGTGTGTGTGTGTGTGAGAGAGAGAGAGAGAGAGAGAGAGAGGCTTTCCAGCTGCTTCCAGTTCATGCAGCTTCTAAAATAGGTTTAACAGTTTACAGCCAACACCCTCCTATTTGGCTAACCTTTGTCTTGAAAATGAACTAAAATTTCTCACAACCCTCTGTCCTTCTTTCCTGTGGGCAAAGAAGTGTCTCAACCTTCCATCTGGTATCAACTGACCGTTTCGGCCATCAGGATGCGGTAACCCCCACCACCTTTAAATCCCATCTGGCCTTGGAGAATCAATTCCATCTGGCTCCTCTCCCCACCTCCACCCCCACACTCTGCATGGCTTCACCACCTCCATCCGCCGCCTCAGCCCGCACGGAAATAGCAGCAATAATGCGGGTAAGCGCTGACGGCAGGTACAGGCAATACAGGTATACTGGTACAGACAGCCCCGAAGCTTCGGTCAAGCAGTCCATAATTTAGCCCCTGCAGCACCCTTCCCACAACCAAACGGCTGGGGTGGGGGTGGGGGTGTTTGCAATTTCTAAGTACCCAGAAAAGGAAGCGGAACCTGCCAGGAGGCCCCTGAGGAAACCCGCCTTGCCTCACGCACCAGGCAAGGGGGGAGCCATCTGTACCTGGGCCCTACGTCTTGCTCTCCTACTGGAGTCTTTCCAGTTACTTCCCAGCCGAAAGCCCGGATTGGGTTTCTGCCCCCGCTCCGGGGCTATAAATACAACCCCCTACATACACCTCTTTCCCTTCCCCCGCCAACCTGGCCTCGGCCGGGGCTGTCGATCAGCGCCAGCTGTCTCTGCCCGTCCTTCGAGCACCCGCGCTCCCGTAGGAGGGGCCCGCTGGCCTCCCGAGGCCAAACCCCATTCCCGCCACCTCTCCTGGCTCAGAAGGGGGTGCTGAGTCACGTATCAGGGTGTAAGGGGGAAGGAGGCACACAGAGGAAGACGGGGTGCGGTACTAAGTAACCCCTTCTACCAACCGGCGCCAAGCACGTGTTCGGTCAGTTCCAGGGACTCAGGGGATAGAGATGGGTGGTGGGGGCAGCCAAGCAGATCTTCTGCCGCCCGAGGAGAGGACTGGGCGCAGGACCGCGTGACTCCTCTCAGGAGGGTTGGGGTACAAGACGCTTAGTACGGCAGAAGGGCACTACAGCAGGGGTCCCCTCTGCTAGTGAAGCATCCTCCCCCGGTCCCCAGACTCTGAAGAAGGTGGACAACACACTAGGCCAAAGTCAGCAGGAGGAGTGGGGGGGCAAGGAGTGCAAAACTCTTGCATCTCCCGGAGACTCGGAATGCTAAGTGAAGGGCCCCCAGCATCTCTATTGGGAGTTCCCCCAAAGGAGCGGGGCATTTACAGGACCAGAGAGATCCCGGTGGGGCCTCACTCACCATGATGAGTCTGGGTTGTGCGTCTCACGTAGAGTCGGGGTCACGGGTCTCGGTGAGATCTGCGGAGCTGCAGTGCCGCA